AGCAGAAGAAAAGACACATTATGTATGTAGGAGTAAAGATAAAAATAATAGGAGAGGCTGGGTGTGGTGGCTCACGCCTGAAATCCCAGCACTTTGGGAGGCCAAGGTGAGAGGGTCACTGGAGCCCTAAGGTTTGAGACCAGTCTAGGTGAGACCCTGTCTCTACAAAAAAAATAAAAAATTAGCCGGGAGTGTTGGTGTGCACCTGTAGTCCGAGCTATTAGTGAGGCTGAAGTGGGAGGATCACTTGAGCCTGGGAGGTCAAGGCTGCAGTGAGCTGTGATCATGCCACTGCACTCCAGCCTAGGAGACAGAGTGACACTGTCTCAAAGAAAAAAAAACCCGGAAGACTTATTGTCAGAAAGTGCACACACTGGAAAATGGTAGAGATCTTTAAAGTAATAAAAGGAAAAAAGCCCAGAATTCTTTACAGAGCAAAAATATTCTAAAAATGGAGAAATAAAGACTTTTTCAGATATTTGAAAACGGAGATAATTGATCACTGAAAGCTTTTAGTGCAAAAAACGTTAAAGGAAGTTATTCAGGCCTTCTGCCTGAATATCTGAAAAAGTCTTTATTTCTCCATTTTTAGAATATTTTTGCTCTGTAAAGAATTCGGGGCTGAAAATGGTGCCAGACGGAAATCTGGATGTCTACATAAAGGAGTAAAGAAAGTCAGAACTGATAACTGTGTGGGTAAATGTAAACCACTTTTGTTCTCAAACATTTATTTATTTTTATTTTTTGAGATGGAGTCTCACTCTGTCGCCCAGGCTGGAGCACAGTGGCGTGATCTCAGCTCACTGCAACCTCTGCCTCCCAGGACATTTCTTTAAAAGATAATTGTTTAAAATAAACTAACAGTATTGGGCTGCGGGATTCATAGCATACATAGAAGTGAAATGTATGACAAGAGCACAAAGGCTGGGAGAGGTGAAATGGAAGTACAGTTTCCTGTTTTAAGATTTTTACACAATGTGCAAATTGGCATGCTTTTATTTGAAGGGAGACTAGGGTAAAGATGTCTGCTGTAAAACTTAGAGCTAATTCAAAACCTGGCACAGGATCTGCACAAGACGAGCCTAGACTATCTTGTCACTCCAGATAGCCAATGTAAGCCTGTGAAACTGCCTTTGTTAACAAAAGAACAAAGTGCTGAGAAACTCTCTTTTCTCTAATCACAAGTCTCGGAAACTTTGTATTTGAAATCATATCAGCAAGAAAGAAACGTTATATTCTTCCCCCAGGAACGGAGCCTTTTCGATATAGAAAAGCAGCCTTGATTTCAGAGCCAGGTGCTGGGTGTCAGATAAGGGGTTTGGGAAAATAAAATTCTACCTCTCTCCTCATTTTCTACTTTCCATGGAAACGGGATCCTGAATCAGTTTCTCAGCCTAGGCCTGATGTTAATTCCTTTACACACCGCCCTGTGGCCCTGCCTTGCCTTGAAGTCTATCAGACACTGCTTCATTTACATTGTACTTGAATCTGCCTTTTCCCTGAATTCTACAGTAGCCCTATTTGTTTCTTTGTTGGCGACTCCTCCTGCACCTCCACAACCACCCGCAGGCCCTTTGGTGTGTGTGCTGTTTCCTTTGCTGTGGTAAGTTAATAGATCTAACTGTCAGACTGCTGGTATGTCCTTGTGGTCTTTGTAAGATGGACTTGATCACAAGGAAGCTATCAAAGATTACCAGGGATATGTAAAATAAGGCTCGGGGTCATATTAAAGAGGTTCCCCCAGCCACGGATGAGACAATGTCAGTTTCTGTAAGATTAAGATCGTAATGAATGCAAATTCATTAAATATATTTAAATCCATGCATTTGTAATGATATAAAAATGATTTTGTCACATTTGGGGGATGATAGGACAATAGATCATTATCTTGCAGATTTATAAATGAAGAAAAATCATCAAGCATGTAT